CCCCCCCCCCCCCCCCCCGCTCGGCCGTCCTTCGAAGAAGACGGCACATGCACGCGATAAAAACGGGACACACACGGTGCGCGATGTACACGCTCTTCCTGTTTTACGATGACGTCGAGGCCGTGGGATGTGATTAGGGTACTCTGTATGTCCGGCGATACACGGAACACATGCGGCGGTACGCTTCCACAAAAAAGTTTTTTTTGTCTACACAGGCAGAGAGGCCCGACTGGGACACACACATACACACACCGAGATGCCCCCCACCCAAAAGACAGAATCATCATACGCTGCCGAAGCGGGTGGAGAACCCGAGGTCGATGGACGAGAACCACCAACAGGCGACAGCGCGGAACCCTTCCACATGCACAGCAGTTTGTTTGCTGAGTGAGGTGACCACAACCAACCGCACGTCTCTCGTTACCCACGTGTGACTACCCCCTCCCAGCGGCGGCCAACTCCGCATCAAACTCCCCCGCCCGACCACTTAATTTACCAAGACCGCGGCCGACGTATCTATCTTCTCGCGCCGACCGACGGCCATCTCACCGAAGCATCTCGACGCGACCACTACACGCAACGCCGTAGCGAGTGACGCGTCCATCCTCTCCACAAACATGCTATCGTACCGTACGGCGTTCCTACCTCCCTCTATGCAACCAATTTCCTCACAACAAGGAGGAGGAAACGAGCAAAAAAAAACAGCAAATGAAAAACAAATCAACCCGCCCTCTAAAATGCCTACGGCAGCGGTGCATCGCACGCGGGCAAAACCGCGGCGAAACAGTCAATATGATGACAATTTTCCGAGGTCCAGAATAACACGATACCCCCCCCCCCCCCCCCCTCGTGCTGTCTTGCTACCGATACCCCAGCACAGGACACCCACCCCGCCCCCTTTTTATCGACAAATTTTGTCCATCTCGTCGATCATTTCTGGCGACCGATGGGTCCCAACGGCATGATAAAATCCCCACCTCACCATCCTCGGGGGAGGGGGTTTCGTGGCATGCGAAACTGAAGGCTACCTACGTGTAGCCAACCTCCTTCACGCAGGAGCCACGGGCCGCAAGGCAACTCTACTGCTGCTACCCATTGCCGACCAACAGCACACAAGAAAAAAAAATCATAAATTGATGTCATAATTATCTGGACCGCCGCCCCAAAACCCGGCATCGCATCAGTCCCACCCCCCCTCCCAGCCGCCGCCGCCCCCGCCACCCCCTCTCGACGCCAAACTAAAAACATGCCCATCCCTCTCCAATTGTTGTTGTTGTTGTTGTCTTCACATTAAAAACCGTTCCGATCTCTCTCTACCCAGTACCTTCGTATGTCCGTACTGATCCAACACTCGACGCGGTCGATTCCCGTGGTCACAGGTTAACTTACCCTAAAAAGGTACACTCCAATGTCGAAGGGGGAAAAGCCAAGCAGCGGGGTTGGTTTCCTTGGACACACAGACAAAACACGAACACGCGCGGGAGAGCAATACAGCCGTCTTCCCTACACTCTGGAGATTGTTGAGTGGTTCACCACAGGCTGGTGTAGTGTGTGTAGATGTGTGTGGGTGTGTGGGTGTGCGTGGGTGTTACAGATGATCATACGGACAAGAGCGAGACCGCGTTCGTTTCGGTACCTTCGCAGCCAACAACTCCCACCAGCACCAAGCAAGGCCTTCTTTCTCTAAACATCTACTTACGTTCTTACCACCGGATGGATGAATGACGAGCCGGGCGCTACCCCCGTCCCCTGCGAAAAAAAAACGCCTTACTTGTCGAGAATGAAACCCCCGCGTGAGACGCATCACGAGAACGGCCCATCTGTGCAAACCTCTCGATCCCCTCGTGCGTTGGGCACACCTCGCGCGCTCAATACAACTGCCTGCCCCCCCTCCCCCCCCCAAAAAAAAACGTACAGAAAAACGAAGCGCTCCGATCACGCTGCCTCGCTGCATGCACAGCAGCGGCTGGCAGACCTAGGCCCGGAAGAGGAGGTAGGAAACGCACCGTACTTTCCACAACCGCCAGAAACCATGGATAGATATCACTATAAAAAACCGGCAAGGAAAATTACGCTGGAAAAAACAAGAAAGAAAAAGATGACCAAAACCAAGAAATATTCCCTCATATACTTACAGAGCGGGGAGGCCAAAAGAGGGGCCGGGCCGGCCGGCAGCCGCCGCTAGCATGGCCGACCAGCGAACGGATCGCTCTTGATAGCTGTATACTGTATACTGTATACTGTATACACACGAAGGACACAAGAGAGAAGCGTACGACCTCTTGTCTTTTCTTGATTTTAGTTTTCGGGCGAGCAGGTTGAGGCCCGCCGAATGCCCCCCCGCCCGAGGGCTAACCGAGCCAGCCAAGCCAAGGCTGGATTGGATGGAGCCAATCAAAACCCGTTAAAACGCGGCGGGTTGCGAATCGGTCCAGTCCTTGAGATTCTTGAGCACCTGCTCGTGCTCTTTTGCGTTTTCTTGGGCGATGAGGCGGAACCCGGCCTTGAACTCCTGAAAAATAAAAAAAGATGGGTGGTGGGAAGGGTTGACATACAAGGAAGAACAATCGACGTGAGCTTCCTTTGTTGTATGCATTGTTGTTGTTGTTGTCTTCACACTAAAAAAAAAACTCAAAGCAACGCTCAATTCTCAGGAACAAGAGCCAACACGAAGTGCACAGCGTTGACGTCGACGTACGTATCTGCCGCTCGCCTTCAACAATGTTAGAGGAAGGGCGGGGGGGGGGTCACACGCTCAAATTTCGGTCCGGGCGGGAGCTGTCGGCAATTACAAGTCCTTTGATTTCAGCATCCTCTCCGTCGTGGAGTAACGCAAGCTTTAAAAATCGTTCCCGGGGGTGTGGTGTCCTATGCGACCTACGGTAACGTTAGTGTGTCTGCGATGACGTCAGGCGTCCGCTTCATTGCACAAACCGGAACGTTTTTTTCAACGTGAATACAAGACCAACACCACCAACAACATGGCAGCACACATACCTCGAAGTTAACCACGCTGTCCCCCGAGGTGTTGAACTTGTGGAACATCTTCATCTCGGCGAAGAGGTTTTGCCTGTCGCCAGAGAGAGATCGCCAAAGGGACGAGAACTGGATCGTCGATAGGCCCCCACTCTGCGAGGCAGCCTCCACGGAGTCGTAGGCCTTTGACAGCATCTCGTCCTGGGGGCACAAGGGTACGGGAGGGGGGGGGGGGGGTCAGGGAAGAGGAGCTGGGAGATTTACTCGGCAAGAGATGTAGATAAGTGAATCGCGATTGTTGATAGACAGCGATTGAGCCTGATTCGAAAGAGAGGGGAAGAGAGATTCGATTCCAGGGCACTGAGTGAAGGATTACAACGGCGACTGGCGGCGAAGAGAGCGAGAGAGAGAAAAAAACATAACTTGAAGGAGAACAGCACGAGTGTCCGAGAAGAGAAGCACTGAGAGGCTTGCTCCGTTTGTATTGCCAGAACGAACGGGCGGGCGGCTGCATGTCGGATGGTGTACCCACATCCTCTTCGCTACACGATACGATAGTAGCACAAATATCGCCCGATTGTGACAGGCAGGCAGATGCCCCCTCCGCCTTCGTGCGGCACTACTCTCAAACGTCACAAAAGCACGTCGGGAACGACGAATAAAATCGTGTTGTATCTTCCCTCCCCCACCCAAACAAACAAACAAGCTGTCGTCGTCAACATTGCCACCACCACCAGCTGGACCAAGACAACACCAGCCGACCTCATCCCCAGAAGGGACGCGAGCTCAATGGTCTAACGACTACGGCATGCCTTAAAATGACGAGTACACCACCCACCCCCCGAAAAGACTTTTTGCGGTAACCATCATGGTGGTCGAGTAGATCATGTTGTGCGGGGTCGAGAACCCTCACTCCGCGCAAAGGGGATAATCGCACCACGTTGTGTTAAAATGGTCAAGCATCCTCGAGGCAGTTACACAGTGCTTACAACTGTCTCTGGAAGTGAAAGCACCACAAAATAAATTAAGTTGCATGCAGCTGCCATCCGTACGCAAGGAAGTAAGCAAGTACAAGATGCCGAACACCCTTAGCAGGATGCAGCGCACCCTTCATGGGACTCGCCGAATACCTCACGGCGCTTCGCGCCTGGTGATGTGAGAGCCTGGTCCGGTAAGAACCCGGCGTGCTCCGTCCCGGCTTTGTAGGGATGCGAGGTCAATGGTCTAACGACTACGGCATGCACGACTATGAGTACACCCCCCCCCCCCCCCCCCCAAAAAAAAAAAATGGACCCCCCCCCCCCTGGCCCCCCGACCAAAGCCCGGGGAACCCTTTTTTTTTGAA